CGAAGCCCCACTTTATTCTTTTATCCTGCGCTGTTACATCTATGCATGAACAAGACGATGCAATGCAGCTGCAGACAAGGATAGATGTCAAAATATGGGAAAGTTATGCGAAGAAAGAGGGAGGCATAATAACATCTTACTAGAAGGAACATGACCAGTGAAAACGTATAGTGCAATCAGGGAGGGCAGCGAGACTAATTTTAGCTATAAGCATTCTTATAAAAAGGACATACAGAAAATCCAAATCTAAACACAGGCAAGGCATTTCACAAGCTGGCAGCCAAAGGCACATTTTGCTTTTTCTTCCAGATGGTATTTTATTGGCAAAGTCAGTATGTATGTGTGCTTAGAAATATGTTAGTGCTTTAGCATATGCCAAATCCATGCAAATATAGAACTCTATGCCTAATTATTTCTATCCTACATGTTACAGCATAGCAGATTTCACAAGTCATCCTCTATAGTACATGTGCTGATTTATCTGTGCCTGTTCTTCAAAGCTGCCATTAAAAAGAACCCTATACTGAATAAAATGTGGAGGCTGCTATTGTGGTAAGGGCCCATTCACACTTGCTCATCCGCTAAAACATTGCATTTTAGAGGACGGGCTAAAAGCTCACACTGCCTGAGCTATCTTTCTTTTTTTATAACTTTATTGATAATGGAAAATGTATACATTCCATTCAGATCTCTGCACAGCAGTGTGCTGTGCTGCCGTGTGGTGACCTGCATTGGCATCCAGTGCACTTTGAAAAAATGCAGCCTGCCTAACCACACATCACACCCGTGTTGTGGTGCAAACAGGGAACATAAAAAACAATGGTTTTCTACGTGTCCTGGCAGGGAATTGCCTTGATCTGGTGCAGCAAAATTCACGTGGGTGAACGGGCCCCTAAATGCTAGTTGACTTCAGTACTTTCTGAAACTTGACCAGCATATTGTTGGAGCTGATAAAATTGATATCTATGATATATAGCTTTGATATTAAGATAACCTCTGCCTTCTGAAAGAACAGTCAATACATGGCTGCTGTGGTAAGGTGGATGGATATCAACACTGCCAACAAAAGAGACTTACTAAGCAGATGCCTTAGGCGCCTTTCACATGAGCGGTCCGATAGCAGGGATCTCAAGTCTCCCTGATGTTCAGGGAGTCTCCCTCAATTAGACAGCGGCTCCCTGACGTCCGCGAGAGAGGCATTTTCTCCCTGAAAGGTTTACTCTGAGTAAACCTTTAGCTTGGCTCTGTCTCATAAGGAAGAAGCTACTTGCTGCACAGAGAGGGCAGACATAGACTACTATTGTTGCAGGTACAGGCACTGCTGCAGGGTTGAGAGAGTGCTGTTAACCCTTTGTGGATAATATAGAATCAATTATATGTCCTGGTTGTCTAGTTATAGAAAACATTTATTTCATTTGCTGCTCATAGCAACTAGTCAACTGTGTATCAGGGACTTTACTCCTCAGCTGTTTTTTTATATATATCTATATCTATCTCTATATATATATAGAGATAGATATATATATCATTATTATTTCTTTTATATTCTGACGATGGCCGCTGTTAAAAAAAAAAAAAAACAGAAAGGGCACCTCCCTGTAATGAGACAGGAACCTCCCTGAAATAAGGTTTTGCAGGTTGGGATGTCTGCGATAGGGTTCGCCTGCGAGTTTTTCAGCCAGACCCAATCAGATGCTCTATGCAGCCGTGTGTGATTGGACGAAAGTCCATTTACAATCAGTTAGCCCCGGCTTTTGCTAGGTTCAGAAAAAGGGTGCCGAACCGGGGGTAATCTCAAGTAAATGGACACATGTCCGTTTACTTCCGATTCCCAATAGACACACATGGGGTCTGGCAGTCACAGCGGGGACATTCAATCCGTACTGCTGTGAACAGGAGAGGATCTGTTGACTGATCCTCTTCTGATCAGCCCTTATGATAGGTCCTTAGGCCTGTATTACAGCTAGGGGCATTAATGGCTGCCATCATACTTCCACAATACATGTTTCCTTTAACACTAGGAGTGTTAAAGTAAAAATGGAAATTGTAAAAATAAATGTCTCACAGGATCCCATTATCCTCCCTACTACACGGGTGAAAAGAAGGGTGCTCAAATCAGCCATCTAATTCTTATATGCAGAAGGTCCCTACAGTGTTCTGGTATTGTTTGCACAGCTTTCTCCTGTGCAAGTGCAATTCGGCTCTATAGACTATAATTGACTACCCTACGGCCGAGCATATGCATTATAACCGGATTGTAATATTGCACACCTCTATGAGCTATGAAGAGCAGAGATCTACCTGACTGGATGCAAATCAAAATGGATTGGTTAGTTAGTAATGGACGTTATATATACAATACAAAATATTACAATATAATTTGGTAAATGTAACGATGACTGCACAGAAATTGTACAACTAATGTACAAAATGTAATGTATATGGCCAGATTACGATCCATCTTCTATGTACTGATCTACAGGTAGTCAGATTATAGCCTTTAACCACTTGAAGACAAGGTGTTTGGACCCCCTTCCTGGCCAGGCCATTTTTCAGTATTCAGCACTGCAGTACTTTGACTGACCTTTATTCTGTCATGCAACGCTGTACTGAAATGAATTTTATACCATTTGTTAGGGACAGATAGGGCTTTATTTTGGTGGTATTTAAAATCACCACTACGGGTATTTATTTTTTATTATAATTAGGAAAAATTACAGAAAATTTTGGAAAAAAAAAAAAAGGTTTTTTTTACATTATGTTAGGAAACATTTATTATTAACCATTTTTTTGGTAAAATATAAAAGATCAGGTCACGTCGGGTAAATAGACACCAAACATATCAAGCTTTAAAATTGTGCGCACCCGCGAAATCGCAGAAAACTACCATACCCAAAATTGGCCATAGGCGACACTTTAAAAGCTTTTACCGCTCATCAGTTTAGTGTTATCAGTGATTGATGGCCCTAGACTTATTGCTCTCACTCGGACGTTCGCGGCGATATGTAACATGTGCGGCGTAATGGGCGCAATCGTCTTTTTTGCACATATGCGCCCCGACGCATGTTTGCATGCGTGTATGTATGGGAGGGGACTTTAATTTTTTATTTTTATTTTTTTTATGTGTAACTTTAAATTTGGGGGGGGAACTTACATTTTTTTTTCCAATAAACTTTATTGCTATCACATAGGGGGGCTAATAGAACCCTCCTATGTGATAGCAAAATATGTGACAGGTCCTCTTTATGGAGACATCAGGGGTCTCCAAGATCCCCAATGTCACCAAACTTTTGAAATTTTTTTTTTTTTTAATTGAAATTTTAAATAATGTCAACAGCCCAAGTAAGGCTATACCCAAGCCATATAGACTGGCTGTCAATGAAACCATATTTTTTGCACTTATTGTTATTGCTATTATATAGGGGGATAACAATCCCCCTATATAATATCAAAGGGACTGACACTGACAGGTCCTCTTTATGGAGACATTAGGGGTCCCTAGGACCCCAAAAGAAGCTGATGAAGCAGAGATCTGCTTCATCAGCTTCTTTTCTCTGGCTATAGCATCCAGATGACTGACAGGTGAATGCGGAAGTGATGTAACACACATCACTTCTGCATTCACAGCCCGGAGGGAGGTCAGCAAGGAGCTGATCTCCCTTCCTCTTGACGCCCTCCGAGCTGGTCCCAGGGCTCGGGGGGGGGCGTGGTGGGTGTAGGTGCCGAAAAAACGGGCTATGGAGCTGCCGACCGTCTATATGTGAAACACCCAGTAACGTGTGTTTGCATTGGTCGTGTCTTTTGTGGCCGTGCGCGCCAGCGAGCAGAAGAAAAATGGAGGCGGGGCGTTGGGTGACATCACATGCCTGTTGGGGGGGGATGTTTTTTTTCTTGCCTCGGGCGCAAAGGAGCTGCCTACGGCTATGTTTCCATGGTGCTCGTGCGGCTGCCGGCTGAATGTGTTAGATGCTGCAGATGGAAAGGGACCGGACACCTCTCCCCATGTGCAACGTCGGCCACACGAGCATCAAGGCAGGACAAGACGCCGAGGCCTCTAGGACACACTGGAATGTAAGCCGGCCGACTACCTGCGTTCAGGGATGGGAGGGGGTGTGGGGTTGTATTCATGTCAATGGCACCGCAGGCATGCCCCTTCGCCAACAGTGCGATCGCCCGCACCCATAACGCAGGCACATTAGTGCCTGCATTCCGGTCCAGTGTGATCTGCAAAAATAGTGCTTGCAGCATTTTTGCGGATCGCACTGGACTGGAACGCAGGCACTAATGTGCCTGGGTTCCGCTTTAAGGCAATCGCACTGTGGGCGAGGGGCCTGCCTGCAGTGCCATTGACTTCAATGCAACCCCACACCCCCTCCCGCCCCTGAATGCAGGTGTTTTTTTCGTTGGTAGATCTCATTGAGCTCGTCATTTGAAAAGTAGATCTCCAGACAAAAAATTGTGGGCGCCCCTGCTCTAGACAGTATTGTTTTTGTAAATGTGATTTTCTAAAATCTCTGGGTAACAATAAGACCATACTAAAAAAAACGTCAACTGGCTTTCTGCTCCCTGCATACACAGCACATCGCTTTTCTTAGGCACAACTTGATAGCAAATGCTGTATACATTGCGAGAAAAAAAAAAGATTCACCAACTCCGCCAGTGCCTTTATATCACCAGAATACACCTGCCTGTGAAGGCAGCCAGTGCTGTAATACTAGATACACAATAGCATGATAAAAAACTGGCTGATGCCTAGTGAAGGATGTATGCATTCTTATCCCTGAGAATTATGAGATAACCCTCAACAGACTCATTCCTCACAGGATTGTTTATGTCACTGCAACAAACGAGCTCACAGAAACGAACAATAATGACAGCGAGCGCTCTATTTTCCATAGGCATGCCTCTGAGGCAAATGATTTTCCCTTGCAAGGCAGGAACACAGAACACAATAGACAAATGGCTTCTCAGACTTCACAATGTGAAGGATTTATCCTCACCTGGCATCTGCCTCACTGTAATATTCTCTCGCTACAATGTCTTCAAACAGCTCTCCACCTGTGACCCTGAAAAAATATAGACATAAAAAGACTGTTACAAAAAAATGGGTGAAAATAAAAGAAATAAATAACCAAACAGCAAAGCAGAGAGCCCTAGGGCAGACCATGGCAGCACTTCCTCTCTCTACAAGAGCAGGCCATGAAGGGTCAACTGGTACGGAGTTAAGAGCAGCTCTTAGGAAGTGCAAACTGACTGATAGCAGACACAGAATTTCAGTCTAGGCATTAACTACCCAGGAGGGACCCTTAACATTTCCCAGCCGACAAACAAACATAACGGAACCTATTAAAAGGGATGGTAGAAATCTCTGAAAGCATCAAAAAGGTTTCCATTTTTGTTCAAGAAAAATTGCATACACCAAGGCGTTGTTTTTTATTTATTTTTTAATTCTCAAGAATAATTTCAATAAGAAGACATGATAAATAATACAGGGAAAGGGAGTCTATTCTGGCAGAGTGAGACAATGGCGAAGGTGGGTATTGAATATATAGCCATCACCATTATTTTGAGCTGCCCCTTCCCAAATAAACCTTAAAGATGAACTCCAGGTAAAATGTTTTCTAAACCCACTGCAAGGGTTAACTGTACATTCTTGTCTAGGGAGGGAAATAAAGTTATACTCACCTAATACCTAATCCTCTGAGCTGTCTTGCTCCAAAAACAGTCTTTCCAATCTCCCTTTCCGCTGCAGCAGTCTAAGGTCCATAAGTCATCACGTCCTATACACAATGTATAGGGTGTGAGGACACCGAGGGATATATCATCACTGCAGTGGAGATAGAGAGAGGCTGGAGGGAGCGCTGTCACAGTCTACCAGTATAACTTTATTTTCCTCCCTAGACCAAAATGAGCACATAACCCTTGCAGTTCGGGGGTAGTCCCACTGCAAGGGTTAATAATTTCCCCCCGAAGTTCTGCTTTAAAGTACATCTAAATTCAATTTGTTTTTTTCCATTTTGGAAAGAGTAGGGAAGGGTTAAAACCACAATGAGCTCAGACACCTATAGAAAATCAATATGGCTGTGCTATCATATTGTGATATGTTCCATTTGTAAACTACAATGGACTGACATTAAGAGTATGTGCCAACATTTATGGATGACCCATATGACCATGGAGTTGTAAGATCAGTTAACATCTCCATCAACTGATGTCAGAGAAGACTAGGGAAAGATTCTGTGGGTTACTATTGTGACTTAACCCTAAATCCCTATGTAGAGCTCTCTTGCATACAGAATGTCTAAAAAGGTGGCCATTAGCACTTGCAGAGAAAATCAATAGGTTCCTGCACTTTTGGCTATTGTTTCAGACAGACGCTGCACCCGCCACTGTCTGAATAACAGAACACGGACTGCATATTTTAGGATGCAGTCACTGTTTGGTCGATAATTTTCCACCCAGCCGAGTTGATTTTTAAATTGACTTGTCAAGCTGGGTGGTGCTGTCAGCGTCACCCACAGCTTGAATTTCAACTGGTTCAGCAGTCAAGTTGACTATGGCCAGCACCCAGCTTAAAGGGAAATTTTAATTTCTGGGACAAAAAAAATAATGAATACACATTTTTTTTTTTCGAAGAAAAGTGCATTTATTATTTTTTGCAAAGCAGCCAGCATTTAAACTACGTTTAGCAGATCGCAGCACTGGCTCCTGCGGGCTGTTTCTCACACTCATTTCCGCACCTCAGTATGGACATTCAGTTACATGGACAAGAAGAAGTGTCAATGGACTATAAGTGCAGTAATTCACTGAGAACTACAAGTCCCTCTGCCACAGTGGCTGAAGGGCTTGTAGTTTCTCCATTCACAGATCATGTCAAAGGATAAAACGGCTGTGTGAGTGGAGCCACGCAAACCATGCCAAATTTAAACTTGTAAACAAGGCTGTGGGGAGGAGAACGCCGAGTATCAGGTAAGTAGGAGGGTTCTGATCTGACCATGTTTCATGTTACTCCCTGAAAATGGGTGTAACAAAGCATGGTCAGAAAGGTAAATTTAGTCTTTCGGAATGTAAGGAATTGCAAGACCTACATGTGGCACATGCACAAACTCACAAGTAGTATTTACAAGTGTAAATATTAGATATTAACTCATGCACACTGCCCTTTATAACTATATTGCACTCCCGAGATTTGACGTGCCATTTTATGGAGTTATCCAGTAGAAAAAAAAATAGGTTCTTGTCTGCACTGGTAAAACTCTTATCCAAAGAGCAGTCATGAACAATGAAAATGAATAACTTGTTTTGATGACATAAATATAAAACTGACAGAAGGAGGCTATGAATAAAAAGTGATTTATTTACTGGAGAACACGTCCTAAACAAGAACAATGCAATCTCAATTTTGACACCTTTAATTATGCTGTTGTCAGGAAGTTTTATGTTCTCAGCATCGATGAACCTGACCTCTTAGAAAAATCTTTATCGGGACTTTTGACATAAAATATTTTATTGAATTATATACAATTATCCAGAGCAACCAATATTATTATAAAAGTGCAGTGAGCTGTAAAAGTTGAAGTTGAGTACTGATAGGTAACTCTACTTAGTGTATGGCAACTTACCCTATGCCATATAGTCTACAATGCTTGTTAAGATTTTCCCACACTTCTCATGGTGTGGGGATAATGGAAGGGAGATCTTTACAAAGGGGTCCCAGACATGAATAAAAAGCTGACATAGGTTTTAAATTATTCCACACAAGAAAAAAAATGGATCACTTCCCTTTTCACATTAACAAATGTTGAACAATTGTTAGAGAAAAAGAAAATAGCTTGCTCTATTTTTTGAAAAAGAGTGCTTTGTAAAACTATATAATGTATAATGTATAAAAAGAACCAGTGCAGGGACTGCCTTTAATTAGCCTGCACTGTCACCATGGAGAGCAAGAGGGTCCTGAAGTAGGTTCCCACACCACCTTCCTCCACCAAGAGCTTTCCATTTGGTGTGAGACAGGTATTTCCAACAAGCAAAATACTTACAGGTCAAAAACAAGATAATGAAAACCTTCTTCTGAAATACTTTCATGGAGGCGCACTGCAAACAAAACAAAAAAAAAAGATATAAATATAAATATCAACAAAGATAACCACCATTAAGTACAAAAAAGTAAAAGACACAGGAATTACAGATGAACATTTTTACACATTCTGTTTTTGCGTGTATAAGACTATACATTTTCATAAAAATATTGACCTAAAAATGGAGGGGCGTCTTATACACGGGGGGCCGAGAGGAGAACCGCGGTTGCGAAACTGACGATACCTCTGCAAACTAGCCTCACAAGTGAAACTTCGTATTGCAGAGACAAGATAAGTTTTCCTCCAATCATAAATCTTTTGTACCTGACGTTAGCTGTTGCTGGGGAGGGTGGAGGAAAACTGTTATCTTGTCTCTGTATCCCGCTCTCTCTCTGTATCACTTTATGCTCCGACATTACCGCTCTGGGCACTGGCTACACGCTCTCCCCAGCAACAGCTGACGTCAGGTACAAAAGATTTATGATTGGAGGAAAACTGTTATCTTGTCTCTGTAATCCGATCATAAATCTTTTGTACCTGACGTCAGCTGTTGCTGGGGAGAGCGTGTAGCCAGTGCCCAGAGCGGTAATGTCGGAGCATAAGTGTGATGCATTATATCATTTAAAATATTGATTTCTGAATTTTGGGTAAGAAAAGTTGGGGGCGTCTTATACATGGGGGCGTCTTATAGACGGAAAAATACGGTACACGCACACACATACATACACTTTTTTTAAGTATTAGGCTTTTGGCCAAAATCTCCAGTAGCCTAAAAAAGCAAAGGAGGTGCAGTAAAGGCATTTCTCAATTAAATTAGGTGGTGACAATAACGGTAGCATCAATATTTATTTACATACATATATATTACTAAAACAAACTACAAAATAACTATGAATCCTACATTAACTCTTCCTATTATTATTTGAATCATGTATATATGTATGTATATATATTAGATATTTATTCAAGCTAAATGAAACATCAGCCTTTTAAAGCTGAACCCCCAGGTACGTATAAGACATGCACCTCTTTATAAATCATTTCTGTATTCAGACTGATTTTAAATTATTGATAAGAACACCATAAAACAGAGAAATGCAACTATCTTTACTCCTATATCCACTACCTAAGTGATCCGGATTGAAACTAAAAACAAACAAAAACAAAAGCCCTGCCCTCCACATCTAACAATCAGCTCCATAGCACCCCAATGGGCAATTCTGTGAAGAAGGGAGAATGAGTCAAGGGTGATAAACAGGTGTTGTGTGTCCAAACTGGAGGTTTACATTTTAATTTTAAAGTCACACACAATTGAAGCAATGCTTTTGAACAATGATGCAAATCAATTTGTGCAAGCTAGCTTGCTTCATCCTTTATTTTCTTTGATATTTTGTGATAGATTCGGGTAGATTCCATTTTTCTATATACCCTGGTGCAGGGTTGGAAGTAAAGATACTAGATACCTGAAAGAAAAGGCACGCTCAGGCTGGGGTCACACTATTAACGCACTTAATATCACACATTATTTGTGTGAAGGTAGAAAAATAAATTGAATGGGATGTCTAACGTACAAAAAGCACCACAATGTACTGTGCGCTGCATCACATATACGTCAGTGGACACGTTGGGTTAGTGTACAAGCGAGTCCAGCTTCGAAGAAGGGCAATGGCACATGCAAGTATGAGCTGACCATTACCTTGGCCCAGCTGAACATTCTTGTTTATTCCCATGGAGAGAGGCAAGACAGGCCAGCACAGACATGGCGCAGGCAATCCGGATGCAGGCTTTTCTTAGGCAAAGCTGGTGATCAGACAACATTTTCTAAGCACACTGTCCCTCTAGATCAGGGGTGGGGAACCTTTTTTCTGCCAATGGCCATTTGGCTATTTAGAACATAATTCGTGGGCCATACAAAATTATCAACTTAAAAATTAGCCTGCTATGTTTGGTCAAACATTTGTTATTAATTAGCTCCTCAGACCATCTCACTCCTGCCTTCTATGTGCAGCTCAGACCATTTCACCTGCCTCCCCACACATCTTATCGCTCTTCTGCCTACCTGGATTATACTAAGTTTAGTAAGTTTAGTAAGTTACCACTTACCAGCAATAACTAAATGCCATCTCCTCATCCGGCTCTTCACCCGCGCTAGTGCTGCTGTGTCTCACAAACAGACATCAGCAGGGGAGGGGCGGCCCATATGTGTCCTAGTGCACTGCAGGCCTGAATGTGTCCGACACTTGAGGAGGGGAGGGGTGGGCTGAAGTATACAAATACTTTAGGAGGGGAGGAGTGGGTCGAATGTCGCAGACGGGGAGGGGCGGGTCGTCACACTAGCAAGCAAACTTTCTAGCCACAATAGCCATTTCTTACCAAATCGGGTCAATAAATAGGACCAAAGATAAGAAATACAGGTTCAGGAACTATGGCTACTTAAAGGACAACCCCCCCCCCCTCTCCCAAACACTGCAGCTCACAGTGGGAGGGTTTCAGCAACAGCTGTTAATCCAGAAAGCAGTGGACCAGGACTAGGTGCTGGTTAACAAGCTACAGGCTTGTGAATTAGAAAAGACAATGCTGATACCCACCTCCCCTGCAGTATTTTCTCAACCCATTGTAGTGCAACCTAACCTACATAAGAGTGGCAACTCAGCTCTGAGAAGCAGTGCACCATCGTTACCACACAGGAAGCTGCAGTAGGTGGACTTTACTTGCAGTATCAACAGGTATTTGTGGGACTTTACAGGGGGACTAAGAGAAAAATGAAAGTGCAGATGCGCGTCTAATTAAGAACTGCGCATTTTTTTTTTCATGGGAAGTCATAGTTCTACTTTAAGAAGACCTGTAATGAAAGTTTAACTAATGCTTAAAGGAGACCTATAATAAAAACTGAACCAATGCGTGTTTAAAAAGCTAGCTAATTAAACATTTAGAAATTTACCTTTAACTATAAAAATCCCAACTCATATTACAAATATCATGGTCTTTGTTAAATGAACTGAACAATGAACCTCATTCCAAAATCTTCCAGCATTTGCCAAGGAAGATTAAACTAGCACATTTAGCTTCGAATTCAGCAAATGGGGATGAATTGTTTATCGCTTTTCAGGCACAGAAAAGGCCTGGACTAAAATGATCAGCTGAATTACCTCTATGACAATTTCCTGGTCCATCAAATGCATAATGTGGTTCCACAAGATTTTAGTCAGTAAATGAGTCATTGAAACACTTCTAAACCGCAAAGCACAAAATCAGACACAAGTACAACAGATGATCCACTGTGACTATATTGTAATTAGAAGAGGTATTTTTTGTGAACTATTAAAGTACTGTATATCTAAAGCCAAAACTATATGAAACTATATTGATTTTCATGGGCTGCACCCGTACAGGAGAATCCATAAAAATTACAAACGTTTTAATTCAGGACTCAGAAAGATGGTTACAAAGTGAATGCCCAACTGAACATTTAATTTAAATCAGCTGAATATATTACAAGATCATCAAATCAAAAGGTGTTCAAAGTCTTCGGCTACATTCACACCGATAATTTAGGTGCGTTTAGGGATACATGCGGTTAGGTAAAGATCACAATCCCTGCAACGCATCGATTGTCTGTCCAGGAATAGTGATTGATTCCTAGCCACATGTAATCATATCATATACAGTAGAAGTAGCCACCGCAAATATGCGGGAACCACGAGCATGTTCAAATGTGCATGCTTTTGTTCTGTGCGGAAAGCCATGCTGACATCAAAACGCAATGTGTGAGCGGAGCCTTAGCGCCCCATTCACACGGGCGGCGTCTGATCTAATCAGCAAGGGATGCGTGCACAGATCACCTGCTGATCACAGCTGTACTGGATGGAAGTCACTCTTGGGACATTTGTGTCCGTTCAGCCTTTTAACTCCATCTAGCAATAGAAGAAAAAACTGAACTAACGGGACCCATGTTAGGTCTATGGGGAGTTGGATGTATGAGGATGTGCCATTCAGGTGCTCCAAAATGGAACCGTTTTTCCTATTTATTTTTTCTTGCACCTTCCTGACAGATTCAGAGGTAATTGGATATAAAGGGACACAGGTAAGTTTACACCAGCTGGCCCATAGACCAACATTAAAAGAGCAATAGGGCCCAACCTTTTTTCACCATAGTTCTCTTTAGGGTCACAAGAGGACATATACTAATGTCCTCCCATGACCCAAAACTCAGCATATAGCCTGCTATATGCTGACAGCGCAGAGCCGCGCTGCAGTCGGGATCCACCCTGCTGCCTGATTGACAGTTGGTTCTGCATTTCTAGAGCCAGACCCAACTGTGCTTGCCTTCTACCCCATCCATTCCTCCAGTCAGCGCTGGAGAAAGGAGGGGGGAAATGCCTGTAGGGAATGGTGATTGACCGTCACCACTCTCTGCAGGGAGAAGATCGTGAACATTTTTTATGTTTTAACTTTTATTTTAAAGTCTTATATACAGTATTACTGGAAAAGAGACACAGCATCATGAAAGCCAAGGGCAAAGTGCAACAGAGATCAAATTCCTATTTGAATAAATATAGCTTTGCCAAAGCAAGTCATTGTAGCACATTTATTGCATTGAATGCACAAGAATTTTACTTTATGCCTTATCTATGTCATTACTCTTGTAAAGAGAATATGTACACCACATGTACACCACACTAAACAAAGAAGCAATTACATCTCATAAGGCTGTGAATCTATTACTTGCAACAACTCCCCAGTGATTCGAGTATTGCTGCTCAGTAGCGGTTAGTAGCTATTTAGCATGCCATCCATTATTGATGGGTGTCACCCAAAAGGTGTAATCAACAACCAGAGCAGCTAATAAGTTGTTAAAGAGAGATAATTATCTAGCAGAGACACAGAGTTACATACTTGATCTAACACTTGCTTTCACTACAATTTTACCAATCTGATTTAACTCCGTCAAATACTAAATTACGAGACTAGCAGGAACAGCAATTATGGCAACTGCCTGATACCTCAAGCATCTTG